GGGAGATACATATTGATGTACAAACGTACATACACACACCCCCATCATGTTTGTATATTATTTTCCATTATTGGTATTTAAAGGCTTTAAAAAGTTGAAATCTTTTTAAAAAGCCATTCTTTTAAAACCGGTGGTGAATTATATTACACATTGTGTTATAGAAAAAGATCTTTCTTCAACCTACCTTTTGGCCAAGACACCGAAAAGGTGAAGTGTTTATGATTGATTTGAGTTTGATTGAGTAGAGATATACAGAGAGTAAGGTTTTTTAAATTCTTTTGATACGAGGGTATTTTTATATTATCGTGCAAATTTTTGGGGTTTAGGGCAGAATCAATCAAGTAATCTCTCTCGCACTCTCACTTCCTGGACTGAATTTTGTTATTTGATATTTTCTCCATTTTTAATGGAGGAAATATCATCTGATAATATTCATGGACTTATTCTTGCTCTTGCATCAAGTATATTTATTGGGTCTAGCTTTATTATCAAGAAAAAGGGTCTCATGAAAGCTGGTGCTTCAGGAACCAGAGCAGGTTCCATTCTTGTTCTTGTTCTTTTTTAATTCTTTTAGAATATTGTGTTTGTATACAGGTGTGTATAAAATTATAGATGTAATTTATGTTATATTGATTAAGTTGCTCATCCTTGATCATGAATCATTGTTAATTCAAAAAACCCTAGTCTAATCTTTATGTAGGTAAATAACTTAATATCAAATCCTAATACCATATATGTCAAGAGTAGAGTTGTAATATTCTTTCAATCAAAAAATTCCTTAATTTTGCTTAATGTAAAATGAAGTTGAATACATTTTAGAATATAAAAAACTTATTGAAATGGGGAATCTGTTTCAGGTTCAGGAGGCCACTCATACTTGAAGCAACCTATGTGGTGGGTTGGGATGATTAGCAGTAAGTACTAATTTAATCCCAATTGACTTTCATTTGTCTCTAAATACATTAATCTTTTAATAAAATCATGTCTTTTTTGAAGTCGAATGACAATATGAGATTCTATGAAATTGCAGTGATTTTAGGCGAAATAGCAAATTTTGCAGCGTATGCATTTGCTCCTGCCATTCTTGTTACCCCTTTGGGAGCGCTAAGCATAATTGTCAGGTTAGTTTTTTTGCAAATGATAATTGTTTTTGCAATTTGAATATTTTTTAAGAGATTATGAGAAGGCTTTGGTTGATGCAAAGATGACATTTTTATGTGTTTTTATGTAATGAATGCAGTGCAGTGTTAGCCCATTACTTTTTGGATGAACGAATGCATATATTTGGTGTTGTAGGGTGTGCACTCTGCTTAGTGGGGTCCACCACAATTGTGTTGCATGCTCCACACGAGACACTAATTAGTTCAGTCAAACAAGTGTGGTATTTCGCAACTGAGCCAGGTATGCTTAATGGGTTAAGCACTTAATCTTCTTGACAACTATATATGACTCTTTCTTTTTTACTTAATCTTGACATATTGACTTAATGGGTTAAGCCAAAAAAACCTAGCTTAATGTATCAACATCCATTTACCTATTTGCCTTTTTTGGAATGTAAGGATAAAATGGTCATTTTTTGATTACTTTATGGTGTAAACAGGTTTTTTGGTCTATGCTTCCATTGTAGTGGTTGTTGTTGGGATACTCATATACCATTATGAGCCACTTTATGGGCACACACATCTAGTGATATATGTTGGAATCTGCTCTCTTATGGGCTCATTAACGGTTTGTCTTTTGTTTATCTTTTTTATTTTTTTTTATAGATATCTTTCGTGTGTGCTCTCATTAGGGTTTTAAAATGTAGGTTATGTGCGTGAAAGCAGTGGGAATTGCCATTAAGCTATCGTTTTCAGGACATAATCAGTTCATATACTTTGAAACATGGTTTTTCACCTTGCTACTTCTTGCTTTCTGTCTTATGCAACTAAACTATTTGAACAAGGTACGCACGATTGTCAAAATTTAAAATTGTTATTATAGTGCTTACTCTAGTTGAAAATCTTTGATTGGTTTTATGAAATCTTGATGTTTATTTTATAAATTGGGAATATTTGCAGGCACTAGATACGTTTAATACAAATGTGGTTTCTCCGGTGTACTATGTCATGTTTACTACCCTCACCATTCTTGCTAGCATAATCATGTTCAAGGTAATTGTGATTCTCCATTTTGTTACACATGATATGACAAAACAGACGCCCTTGTACTGTTTTTGACATGTATTGGACTGAGAACTGAGACTGAGACCCTGACACGGGCTCACTCTAATTTTTATCTGTGCAAAAGACGTAAATGCCGTCCTGATCCTCATCATAAAAAATAACCCTAAAAAAGGTTGACACAGATATTGATGTCAATAGGACAAATTGTTAGTTTTTGTCCCACACAAAAAAGGTGGTGGGACATGGGCTTTTGTCTATGCAAAAAGACGTAAACGCCCTCCTTTAGTAAAACTTTTATGATTAAATTTTGTGGTGGTGTGCATGATGACAGGACTGGGACAATCAGAGTGGGGCCCAGATTGCAACGGAGCTTTGTGGTTTTGTGACAATTCTATGTGGGACTTTTCTTCTTCACAAAACTAAGGATATGGCCATGGTGGGTTCACATCCACAGGTCACAACTGCAGACACAAACTCCAGACAGCTGGAACTTTGACATAGAGAGTCTAGATTATTGTTAATAGTAACGGATTAGAAAATTTATAGAATGGGGAGGAGTGTTACAAATTGGTTATAAATTATCTTCAGGGAGGCCAACATTCTTTGATTATGATTTTATACTAGAATTTGTAGATGATATTTTTTTTTTACTATATTGATTATATAAGTCGCAAAACCCCAACATAAAGAGTTCGTCCTTTTGAATTCTTTGTGTCGCAGAGAAATCTTTACTCCATACCACAATTTGAAGGTTGATGTGGGCAAGTATTTGACATGCTTTATGGGATTAAGTACTATTTATTTCATCGATTTTTAGGGCTGTTGCAATGAGGTGAGATTTTATCAAGATCATGGAAAATATAGCTTTAAGAGTAAAGTACAATTTTGGTCCCTATGCTTCACCGGTTTTTGCTGGTTTTGTTCAAGTTCAATTTTTGTTTCAAAACTGTCTTCGTGGTTTGATGTTGTCGTGGCTTTTCTGATTAACAAATTTATAAATTAAACCCATACTATAATCCTTAATCACTAATAAAATTAAAAAAATAATAAATTAATTTGAACTACATCTTCTAACCGGGTCAAGATTATCATAAATGTAATTCATCAAGAAGAGAGCACCAATTGTATAAAGTTAAGCTCATAACAAGAAACAATTTGCATAAGCAACAAGTGAATACAATGGCATGTATAGGCATCATTTGTGTCGTGTAACAACCCATAAAGATGCATAGTCATTATTGTCTCATTGATGACAATAACGTTCCAGGAATGAGCATGTTACTCGGTAGATTTAGATGTTGTGTTATATTTGTTAAATTATCTCATGAGGCAGGTTTTGAATATTAGTTGATGGTTATGGCTTGTCTTTTGTGGAAAAGTGAAAGTAAATTACACAAATAATATATAGAATGTGTTTTATTTATAGCCTTAGTTTTGCATGAATGAGCGTGTAAACACATTACATCTTGTGTTTGTGGTTGGATGGGTTATGTTGGTGCATTTGTTACTAATCTCACTTTGTTTTAATGATTATCAAACCAAAATTGCATATTTGTCTAACAATCTCATCGTGTTTTGTGAGACTAAATTTCAATGAGGAGCTTAATAAAAGAAATTCCAATAGCATGAAACTTTTTAGAAGGTTGCATAAGGCTCAGAAAAGTATCACATTGGTCCAACATGAAATACTGCAAGAAAATTTAGGGTTTGTGGTGGAGAGCTGGATACCAACTTGAATGGTGAGAACACTTTCCGAACTGATATTTCTACCCTATGCCTGGGTTGCAAGAAATTCAGCCTAGGATAATCCAAGTGGACACTTACGATACTAGGCACAGAAATCGTAAGCCAAAATGCTAGAAGGATTATGTGAAAGTTTGAAGAAAACGAGAGCTAAATTTCGTGTGTTCCTTCTTAGAAGGAAGAACCGTTTATATAATAAACGAGATTAGAGTTTCATTAGGGTTGGGCCGTCATGACTCTGCCCCTTGGACCCCGCTAGGGGCGCTGCCCCTTTGGAAACCCCGGACCCAGGGGCGCTGCCCCCGGACCCCTGACTTGTCGTCGAACCGGCTTCTAATTTGATCTTATACATGCGTGCACTCCGCACAAACCCGAACATATATTAGAATACAAATTATGAAGCCCATTAGCTCACATGTTAACCAAATCTTGAACCAAAGTCTTGCCACCTGAACCGTAGATCCCTATGATCCAATCTTTTGAAATCATAAACTCAAACATATCGATGATCCTTCAAGCAAAATATCTAGTTCTCCCCCACTTAGGGTTCGAACTACCACCAAATGACATTTCAGACAAACCAAAACGCAAACCGGTTCAACTAGATGCATAGCATCCCATAACGTTTAGAATACATAACACGACATAAGGTGGTCTTCCAAATAAATACCAAGCGAACTCAAAGATATTCCAAATCCCAGATGGAGACCTCAGAAACCTCCTAATCATAACCGCCTCTAGCATCAGAATCCCATGAAGATGCACAAACAATAATTATGTCCATTCATAACACCGATTCTCCATCTAGAAATAAATGAACTACCACACACCTCGCCTATAATTCCCCAACAAACAATTCATCACGAACATTACTCATAAATATAAGAAACATCATTCTCTTAGTCAGGATACATCATAGACAACAAAAGTTGTTCTTAGTGATTCACTTCCCTTGGTTCCGGAAACAATCAACTAGCACCTGAACTAACTAAATTCAAAGAAAGTAGAACCCTGATCTCACCTCAAGGAAACTATACCACATGAATCCTTTTGTGCATTCCCACACTGCCACACTTGCTGGCAAAAACCGTACTATCTATCCCAATGTTGAGTCTACACCCCCAATTCTAAAAGTCACACGACTGCTTTCTCTTTCCTCAGAACACGGAAAGATGGAAGAACACAAACTCTGTTGAATATAGTGACATCCCAATCCATCGGCTAATCACTTAGCCTCCGGTTGCAATTCTTGAGCCAATCATCACAATTGCTTCCTCCTTGAGTCCTGCGACTCAACTGACACTATCTTGAGCAAGGCCCTCCAGACCTCGAAATCAACTACCTTACACTGGTATACATCATTGAAACCCAAACAGACCTGGCCACTAAGGGCTAAGTAAACACTAGACCAATCCTCAGCCTGATCGACCATAACCGATAAACTGATAACGACGGAAACACACTGCAATGAATCATGGTGCCAGACCATGACATCTTCCCTTAACCAGTTCCTTAGAATCCCCTGAATTTTCCTCGAGTAGAGTACGGATCTTGGGCTTTCAGTAGTACGGGCCCAATACTACCTTCCACACCTATCCATACTTTCCTCAAGAATCATCTCGGGTCCTCTAAGTAACTACTCCTATCTACATCCGCCCGATCCAATCACGAATACCCGCCCTCATCCGAGTACACACTCCTAATCTTCCTAGATTCTCCTTCTTGGATTTTTCTTCCGAAAATGCTCACACCAGCGCATTCCAACATTCTTCCTAGGGTTCCCTTCACACTACTCTCCGCCATCAGCGGCGGAAGAGACTCCCTCTAATACCTTCTAACTACCTCACGTATATAATTACATGCCATAGACACTAGATAATTCTTCTACTGCAAGGTCTCACAATACAACAGTTGGAATCAAAAAAGAGCTGCAGAATAAAAGTTAAACCAAACCTTCTAAAATAATATAATCCTTGCAGCTTCTAACCTAACGTATTCGCTTAATAGCTAGTTGATATTAATGGAGATCTCTGACAGCACAAAACAAGTAGCATTGGAGCATCGGGTTATCCAAACCAGAGCATAACCTAATCAAACCATTCTATCCAATATCTGAATCCATACTAGCATGCAATTCCAAAGGCTCAATGATTAGGCATATAAAGACATCTCTCCTAGCATACTATCATGCAATTATGAGCAGATCCTTAGCCTAATTTAACATGCAATTCTCAGATACTCATATCGATTATCAAACATAAAACATGTATGGGTATTTTGGGAAATACATACTTGAGCTCGGCTGATTACACGCATCGCACCCCCTTTTTCCTTATAAAAAACTTTTTAGAAAAACATTTTCTTTTAAAGATTTTAGAAATCCTCAGTTTGAGTTCAGACACTCCCGAGAGTGTTCCCGAATCCCTCAAACCAAGCATCTGATACCAACTTATAACGTCCCAAAAATATTAAGTGAAATTTTATTTTTAAATAACCAAAACAACCCTGCTTTCATTCGTTTTCAAAACCATCAGAGTATAAAACATTATCAAACAAACGATCCAAGTACAAAGCAAATCATAGGTGCGGAACACTAGTGGATGCGATGCAATCACATCAAGCTCTTCCCGTTCGAACCAAAAGTACCTGAAAACATTTTAAACATAAATTGTAAGCACAAAGCTTAGTGAGTTCCCCAAATACCGCATACCATACATATGCGTCAGCTCAAGATTGTACCGAGTCTATTTCACCCCGTTGTCTATTTCACCCTCGAGTCTATTTCAACTCATATGTCAGCCCAAGGCTGTACCGTGTCTATTTAACCCTCGGGTCTATTTCACCCCTAAGTCTATTTCAACTCATATGTTAGCACAAGGCTGTACCGGGTCTATTTCACCCACGAGTCTATTTCAACTCATATGTCAACACAAGGCTGTACCGGGTCTATTGCACACCACATATATATAGCAAACAACCACAAAGGCATACAACACATACATCAGGAGTCACAAAGACTACAAGCACATACAATACCTAGTGTCCTACAATATAGTGAGCAAACCACATGCGTTGCTGCTTTCGGGCTCCTCACACTGAACACATCCAGATCATCCCTAATCACCAGTTAAGGAAATTTTCATAGTCCAAAGTCCAAGTCATACTCTATCATATCAATGGGTAAAAATACTATTTTACCCTTCCCACATCCGACCCAACAACTCATAGCCCAAAACCCCAAAAGGCCCAAGGCCCAAAAAGGCCCATTAAGGCACCTAGGTGCGTACGCCCTGCATACCACCTCAGTACACCCGAAGTACGGTGCTCAAACCTTAACTCCATTTTTAGGTCTTTTTCCTTTAAGACCAAAAGACCAAATCCTCAAGTTCAAGCCTAATGGATGTATAAAGTCATAAAGTTCCTGACTTTTTGACTTAGCATGACTTAATAGAGCCTAACACATAACCTAAGCTTCTTAATATAACAAAATGATCAAGGACTTTCTTAAAAGTTCTTAATCCTTTAAGACTTTACACCTAAGGCTCATATATAACTCTAATGGGTGCCTTAATCAATAAAGTCATCAACTTGACGCCTTTGCATGGCTCCAAGAAACCCAAAACCCAAATCTAGTCTACTAGCTTGACCAAGAGATCAACAACCCATGCATGGTTGGTCCACAACCATCAAGATACAAACTTTATGAAAAAGGGACCTTTAAAACATCAAAATAAAGAACCCAAAACTTCTGGAGTAGCATATACTCTCAAGAATCAACTCATGGAACCAAAAAGCACAAAAACTCACTGACACGCAAGATCTAGCAAATGAACCATCAAGTTTGAGACTTGTTAC